AACCAATGATATTTTTGCAATATCACGGGATGATCTACAAAAATCAGCCAATTACAATGAAAGCCCGCTATGCTGATTAGGCTAAAATAATTACTAAAAATAAATCTAATTTAGTTTTATTAGTAAATTTCACAATATCAAAAAATTTTAATATAAACTTGCATTGAGATTATAAAGATTTTAATTAGTTTTTATTGTATAGTATTAAGAGTTTAAAATAATAAAAGTAATTTATAAATATAAATCTATTTACTTTTTTATAATCACAATATATATAGTATTTTATATTATGTGATTATATAGAGGTAATTCTATTTAATCACCCCTCTATATAATCACCAAAAAGTGCTAGATAAACTAGGTGATTATATGGGAGGATGACTGTAGAACATACTGTATATACACATAAAATGCGAAAAAAAATATTTGCCACCAAAACTAAGCACACTATGTTTTACATATTATCGATGAAACTAAATATACTACCGACAATCAACAGACTTAGAAACGTTATAAGAACTAAACAAACTCAAACATAACCTGTTTCTTTTAGTACAACGAGCTTACACCTCCTATACCAAGTTAAACGGTTAGTAATAGTTTACTTAGATTAACTTGATTGAGTCTTTAACAAATACCTTTCTATAGTTTACTGTCTACAGAATTTATACCATATGGACAAATAAACGTTGAATATATTTGCAAAGTCAACGAGGTTCCCGATCTTTTCTTGTACGGTGCATATTCGTGTTCTTACGAAGCTAGAGATAGAAAAAATGCATTTTTTTTATCAGTGAAATGTTACGTTTTTTAAAAGTACTTTAAAATGTATAAACAAGTTACCGGGTAATTGATTTACATCATCCAATCAGACGAAAGTCCTCCTATGAAGTTTGTAAGTGCATCCAATAGGACCCCAAACAATACTAATGGAGGTTATATTTGAAAAATAGCTAACAGAAATCAAAAATTTCAAAATTAAGCAAGTTGATTGCTAAAAATTTTTATCCAATCAAATTGCAGAAAAACTGCTAATGGCTCAAATATAACCTCTGCTATAATTATTTGGGGCCTGTCCCAATATAACTTGGTCAGATCAAAAAAAAAACATCTAAGGTAAAGGGAGGTAATTTGACACCTTAAGAATTGCTAATAATAAAATAAAATTCTAAAAAAAGTTGAACATTTACAAAGTTTATAGAGCTTATACCTCCACTCATATATTTTAATTAAATAAAAAAAAAGACAAATTTATAAAATATACAAGTTATTTTATTATTCGTTTAGAACCATTGAAAAAAGTGAGATGTTAAATTTGGAGGGCATCGTTTTTATTAGAGCATCACAATACATAGCGTATGTACATAGGATACATACGTACAGTTGCCTCCAAAAGTTTGTCACGGTTACACAAAAACAAATTATAATAATTATTTGACAAATAATATACGTATACAACTCTCGATATAAGAAACTTTCAATATAAGAAACTCTTGATATAAGAAAGATTTTACAAGCCCCAATTGAAAATTTTATCTTTAATATAAGAAAACCTCGATATAAGAAAGATTTTGGTCGGGCCCGGTTATGTTTTTTATACCAAGAGTCAGTTGTATTCATTTATAGGGGTCGCTTAAAGCCAGGTCCATCACGAGATCTCCCGTTATGCACGACCAATCAAATCTCCAATTTTTGTTTACGCGGATCAGCCCGACGAAGCAAAAAAAGTAAACAATGAGAAAAATGCAAGAAACTAATGTCTAAACCTATCTTGGTACATTAAGAAAAAATGTCGAGGGGACGATTTTACATATAGAAACCTTTTAATATTAGTCCATACAGGCCCTAAACTGACCCAACCTTAACGTTAATTTAAATTCGTATGGACCTGGCTTTAAACGTCCCCATATTAAGTAATTTTTGCTTTTATGCTAATCATGCTTTAGTTCTTTAGTTTTTGTCCCGTTTCTACGTATTTAATCCTCAGATATGGCTTGCCAGAAAGTTAGCTTACTTTAGAAATTGCGTATAATTTGATTACTTTCGGGACGACAATTGCCATATATTTGTGTGTACTGTGCTCGGGTAGATATGTTTGGTCTACGTAGTGATCAGAAAGGGTTACTATATAATTTTCCGAAAGCCATTTTCCCGAAAGGACATTATCTCAACTAAATTAAGGTTGGTTTAATAAGATTTATGTTTCGAGAAAATGATATTTGAAAACTTGAGGCACAATGGTTATTGTGAGAACATGATAAGTTTCCTCAAAAATGACCTGTCGAGGCGACAGTCATGATAGATAAATTAGCTGCAATTAGAAAAAAGATTACACCATAGTATATACTGTATTTACATGAAAGCAGCAGAAACAGAATACCCATAATTATATTTCATCGTTTTACAAATAAGGATTCATTAGTTTATTGATATCACATATAACGAAAATTATGTAAGCTCACTTAGTGACTTTATTAATGAGTGTTGCCAAAAGAAAACCTGTATATCTAAATATAAAGATCGTATAAAACCTAGCAGTTTTAAGGGTAGAGTGAACGATAGAAACCTGATATGATATATTTATTTGTAAAATAAATATTACTAATTTAAATCAATATTTTGCAACCAGAGGTAAATGAAGTTTTTGAAGTCAATCAATTTATGCATCTAGTTTGAGAACAATACTCATTAATTCGAAGATAAAAGAAAAAGAAAGGAAAAAAAAAAACAATTTAAAAGCTATATAAATACACTTTGAAACTATAAGTATGTAGCTTTTAAATCAGCAATTTAGTATATGGACTAATAATAAAAAATATATGTAAATGAGGTAATAATAATATAGAATTATTCAAAATAAATAATAAACAACACAATGTAATATTCATTATAACTAGAGATGGGCACTATGCAGCATGGTGCTTAATCGTCACATATTATAATTTATGTAAAAATTAACGTCCGATGTGATTTTCATAATTTTAATCATGTAACAATTAAGCACCATGCTGCATAGTGCCCATCTCTAATTATAACCTTACTACGTATCAAATAGACAGATGGTCAGGTGTAATACGTATTAATATTATCACTTGTGCTCACTAATTCCTCTGTTATCGTTATATCTGCACGATGAACAAGTTATCACTATTAATAATAGAACTGTTATTAGTTATAGTTTGATCAACGTGTTCTATAAATTTACTACAAGGGATCGTAAAATCACTATTAAGAATGTTATCAAGCTCATTTTTAATCTTTTCATCATATTTAAAAAGTCCTAAACTTATTAAATTATTTATTTGCTCCATTAACATCATCTTTTTTTTACCAGATCCGAAATCAACATCACCAAAAACTGCCGACGAGTCAAATAAAAACGACGTGTCACTTATAGCATCATTATAAGCAGCATTAAATTTATGTGATTCTATTAAAAATGAAAACTTATTATCCGTATTAAATAAAACTTCCATTTTTGATGAATGAGTTGCATTAAAATTATCATTAATTCTTACTAAAGCTTGCATAACTTTCCAACTTGCATTAAAAACTTTACTCCTCTTTTTGATAGTTATCTCAATGTTTTTTTCTTTCATTTCTTTTATTTTTTTTATCAGATTGTGAAAATTCTGATAATATTTCTTCATCATTTTCCCAGTTTGATAAAATATCACAAATCTCTAAGGCTGATGGCCGATTTTCTGGCTTATCATCCCAGCATCGCTTCATAAGGTCAACATAACATTGCGCTACCTCTCCATCTGTAGTTGGCCGTAGTCCTTTACAGATTTCTGTTGGAAGGTTCACATCATATGGTTTATCTGAAAATACCTGTCTTCCTAAGAAGATATCACACATAATCATTCCAAACGAATAAATATCTGATGCTTTTGTGAATGGCTTTCCAAGCAAAACTTCAGGCGCAACATATGGTAAAACACCATAAACTCCACCAGATTTTGTCATTAATGCCTTATTAACTGTGACTGCCAATCCTAAATCACCGATGTATGCACTATGTAAATCATCCTGAAATATATTTCCACTATGTAAATCGCAATGAATAATATCATATGAATGAATTAATTGAAGGTCTTGTATTATTTGTGACAATAAATTCAATTTATTTTTCCATTTTATTTGAGAAACAAGAACAAGATTTCGATTCAAGGATCCAAGTTTCGCGCATTGCATGACTAAAATATAATCTCCAGTTTTTCATCTTTTGATATTCCATAGCATTGTAAAAATGTAGGGTTACTCTTTCCAATGTCATAGTATGCCTTTAACTTAAAATTAAAATTTTAGCATACAATTATTTTTAATGGAAAAACGTTAAATATACTAATTACCTCTTTTAAAAGTTCTTCACTGCAATTTTTTGATTCGTGAAGCACTTTAAGTGCAACAGGCATTAAACTATTAGTTGGTGTTTTCCAACGAGCAAAATATACAGTTGCAAACCCTCCTTCTCCAATTCGTTGCATATCTACAAATTCATTGAATTTTATCCATGATAATGGACAATTTTTTAGTAAGTCGTCAATCTTACAATCTCCACTTTTAATCTCCATAAATGGTTCTTTCGGTTCTATTATCAATCATTGATTTTTTTAGAAAATTACTTTCCTTTGCTTTTTGTAACCATCTAACAGCTTCTTCATGATTTTGTGTTGTCCCATTGCCATTTCGATAACATAAGCCAATTTCATATTGCGCATCTGGATTTCCACCTTCGGCAGATTTCAACAACCATTCAAATCCTTTCTTTTCATCTTTTTGGAAGTCTACATTTCCAAGACCATTTTTGTAATACATTCCAGTACAGAATTGCCCCTTAGACGATCCGTTTTCAGCAGATTTTAGGTACCATTCAAATGCTTTCTTGATGTCTTCGGTGGTTCCTGTACCGAATCGATAACATACACCAA